GACAGCCACAAGGCTAAGGCCAAGTGAGCACAACTTATGACAAATCCAGACGCAAGCACAAAAGGCTCTTTTCAGAGCCACCCACTTTTTCTTTAAGAGAGTTGATGCACTTTTTCCAGTTTTTATCTTTCCTGTGGGCGTTGATGGGATGCACGTTATATTTATGTTTTCCGTTTAGTGTGCAGCCCTTTACAAACGTCCGCCGGTTCTGATGCAAAGCCGCGCGCGGCTCTCTTTGCAGGGCAGTGCTGGCGGCGCAGTTACGCCGCGGTGTGCGCTCAAGTCCTCCATCGGCAGTGGCTGCTCAGGCGGAGTTGTACCGCCGCTCTCCGGAAGCTGCGCTTTAACAGGCAGAAAGGGCGGTGCTTCCTGGCAGAGTGGGCCGTGGGTTTTTCGTTCCTACCTGTAGTATCTAAGAGTTGCTATAGGTCTGTCTGCCTCCATGAGGCTGTCTTTCGAGTGAATCTTTCTGGTCGATTCTATTAGCCTTTTAGGGAACCTCAAAATTCTCTTTTCACTATTGCTTTTTCTTAGTTCATAATTTGCAGTCAGTATTTGCTATCCTAAACCTGAAGCAGAATTTATATCGTTTCTTCTATGAGGCTTTGCATAACATGAGGTAATCTTGTAGGATTTGAGCTGCATCAACCTCTGTTCTTTCCTGTGGGAACTGAACTTGTGTGACACCCATGTGACGATTTTGCTTCTGGGAGATTTGTATCAGTGATTTCAAACAGCAGCATCTGAAAGTTTGAGTATGAAATTGGTGTGGACAAATAGACCTCTGTGAGCCAGCTCAGCCCAGGTGCCTGTTTGCTATGATGCTGAGTTGGGTGGTTGTGTGTTGGGAGCAAATAAAGAAGCAGACTACTTAAAAAAGTATATAGAAAGACTTGAGATGTATCGTTCCTATAGTAATGTCCTCTTTTGTGTGTGTTTCTGCAGAGTGACTTAAAAAAGCAAGTCTTACTTGTGTCCCAAGGGTAAAAGGCAAAGAAACTGTTTCACAGCTGAGGCTGTTGGGGGAGCAGCAGCTGCAGCTTGCTGCCAAATGAGCAGTGGGTACAGTGCACATAGGAGAGGTGTGCGTTTCTTCACGTCTCTGATGCTGTACAACAGCAGCACAGGTTCTCCTGCTCTCTCTGTAGTTCAAGGTTCATCCATAATTCCGTGGCCTTTGCTTCTTTTCAGTACTGTTCAAGAGTCTTTCAAGACTAAAATCTACAGATGACACAAACAGTGGTACAAACAGTTGTGGATTCTGCTGGTGATGAGAATTCTGAGCTATCTTGCTATTCCTCTCATATATAAACTCCTTGTTCTCTCAGTTTTAAAATGAGTATATGTGCAGAATTGCTACCAGAATAACTTTGTTAAAAGGAAATGGAATTAACTTTTTGGTTAAAGGTCAGCATCATGAGTGAGTATTTTTGAAACCACTCTGAGAGTGGCATCAGAAAGGGCCACAAAGTACAGCAAGTTACTTGCAGCCATCAAAAATAAATATATTAAAAATGAATAAAACAAGAAGTACTGCACCTGGTGAGTTCCAGAGGGTGCTTTGCAGCTGTGTAGGCCTCTGGTTTTGTGACCCAATCCTGAGGGAACTGGATGCTGCTGCTCTTTGTCATGTTTCTTCTCCTATCCCATGTGTGTGAGCTGGGCAGGGAGAAGGGTTTTTTCAGTGGGGTTCCCTCTTCCTATTAATTATGCTTTCATAATGCAGATTATTTTCAAGTATACTCTTTTGTAATCAAACTGGAAAATAAAGATGGGAGTTGCTTAACATAACAATAATTTGAATAATTTGCACTGTGTTTAATAATAAGTAATTTCTGGCAACTTGGAAAAGAATATGAGCTGAGAAGTGAGTGAGCAAATATTGACTCAAACCAACCAACCAGGAAGCAGAATAAAGTAGTTACGGAAGTGTTTTGTTCAGTTTCTCAATTGGATCTTTGGCACTGATCATTGTGTATAATATCTGAATCATCTTCCTGTGTTGTCAGTTAAGCGGAGCAGCCGTTACTGTTACTTGTTCACCCAGATGCTGCATTTCATTTTTGCAAAGAACAGACTGTGTGGTTTTGCTTCAGTTTAACTCGTAAGTGACTGAATGTATAAAATGTACTGCATGTATGGCTAGGTAAGTAACATCTTTCCAAAACTGCTTGACTGTAACAGACTATGGAAAGGAAAAACAAGATAATGGCAGTTTGTAACTGCATGGATCATTCTTTGCTATACCTTATGGTTGGTAACACACTACAGGCACAAAGCACAGTGTACATGATTGATTAAAATGACAAATGTGTTCATGTAAACAAAAAATAAACCTACCTTGTGTCTCTGTTCACGTGAACGAAGGCAGGTTTTTCAAGGTAGAAACTGACAGTACACAACACACAGTATCAACGGCCTTTTTGAAGGCTGTGCTTTATAGCAATTCCCAGGATGATTTATGTGAACTTGCTCCACTCTCTGGTTCATAGGAAGTGTTCCATGAGTAGAATGTGTTACAGAAGACAATGGAAACTGCTTTGGATTTAATAGTAAAGAACTGTAAAGAATATAACAGATAGTATAATGCACTATTGTGTGATTTTTATATTCATGGTGGTGTTTTCATTGATTCCAAATGTTAGTCAGGTAAAACGTTTGTGAGATGACTCTGACTGCAGTGCTGTCAGAACCTGTGACCTCCTGTAGACAACTCTGATGCCCCTCACTTCGTCTTTGCTTCATCTAGAAACTTGTGTGTACTCCTTTATCTCCTGTGATTCAGTGACTCCCCTCCCTTCCCTCCTTCACCCCATCCTGATCTTCTCCTTTCATCTTACAGCTTAAATTGTAGGGCTAACTTTCCCATGCCTCTAAGATCCCCTTGAATGTGATGAGTTGTGGGCTTGAAATGTTGGCACTGATCTGATAGACATGTTTGTGTTTGAATATCTGCTGCTGGATATCATCCCATGAAACACT